GAGGAGGAGCACCCAAGTAGAGAGTGCTGTGGAGCCCAGGTGTTATAAGCAGCTGGCCAGGCGCAGCTTGGCTGGGAGGAGGAGCACCCAAGTAGAGAGTGCTGGGGAGCCCAGGTGTTATAAGCCACTAACAAGACATGTTTGGTGGCAGCACATATTTTTAACAACTGATGAATTTCTACATCTTACTTGGTTGAACTAAAAAAAGCTGCTACTGCTGTTTGTTTGTTTTTTAATTAGAAAGGAAATACCATGATTTCTACCCAAGTTTCAATGTAGATCCATTAGAAGCTAAAATTAAATTTTACACAGTCTCACATGGAAGAGTAAATTTAATTCAACATAACATACAAAACATAATTGTATAGAACCATTCTGTGTACTTGTACCATTTATCAAATTGTGGAAGCTGGTAATGTGAATTAGAATTACTATTCAAAAATAATGTAGAAATAGAATGATCCAAATTCAGGTCGAGATTAAATCCTAGCAGTTATGGTAATGGGAATTGCCAGCCAAGCACTAGGCACTATTCTTACTTTTATAAAGAGTAGTTACTTTTTATAGTTGCCTGTCAGCATCACCGTTCTCCACTATCTTGGCATTATTAGCTCCATTCTTAGGTAATGAAACTAAAAAGGAAAGATTGAGACAGAGCACACATCCCATACAATGCTGGCTTCATACTCCTATACCTACCTTTACAGTTGAAGAAAAGCTGGATTTAAAAAAGGAAAAAGAATGAGAAACCCAAGCTATGTATAAAGCTTGTAAGATTTCTGTTCTTCACCCACTAGGGCAATGGAGGGAGGGTTTTCTCTTCTCTAGAGAAGAGAAGTTAACCTGAGAGAAGAATCTGACTGTGGGGCTGAGGAGATAGCTCAGTGGTCTAAGCACCTGCCTAGCAAGCACATATTGTGCTGGTCCCGAAACCGGGTGTGGTGACATGCTCCTGTAATCCCAGCGCTGGGGAGGCTGAGACAGGAGGCTCACTACTAGTCTGAACTGTGTAATGAGATCCTGTATCCAATTTTTAAATTTTTTTAAAAAAGACTCTGACTGTGTAAGAGTTCAGAATCGGATTTGCGTCCTGGTGCCATCACTGGCTGGCTCAGGGTCCCCTCTCCCAGCTTCACACTGACTTTCGGTGCTGCCCACAAATGTGATGGGAAACCCCGTCTTCATACTGAAGAGAGTTCAGTTGTGAAGCAGCCACCAGAACTTTAAGTGGCCTGGTAGGGACCGAGGCAGGGCAGCCCTGACGGTGGGGAGAGGTGTGGTTCTGGCACAGCGCCATGGATCTGGGACAGTGTGATTTGCAGCATGCTGGGCCACTTTGATGGCTCCAGCTCTACCGATGAAATGACTCAGCTATAAGTTGTTTTTGTTGTGACATTTTCTCCCTAATTTTCCGGTAGGTATCAGAAACATTTAGAAAATGCCAAAAAGATTGGAATTAAAAAAGCGATTTCTGCGAACATTTCCATGGGCATCGCCTTCCTGTTAATATACGCATCCTACGCTCTGGCCTTCTGGTATGGGTCCACACTGGTGATATCACAGGAGTATACGCTTGGAAATGCAATGACAGTAAGTAATTTTCCTAGTACTTGTGAAAAGTGATAGACTGCTTCTCCGTCTACCTTCACTGTTCTTCCCCGCTGCTCTTTTAGAAGGCGGAACCATGATAATAGGTTTTGGGTTCTGGATGAATCTTTGCTCTCCTGCAGGCAAATAGCTTTCAAACACATGCAGCTAGGGACAAGACAGAGCATGCAGTTGGACTATGTGAGAGAGAACTGTGACAAACTAAATGCAAACAAAGTGGAACGAATAAATAGGTGTTGGCGTCGTCCTCATTCTGTCTGGTGGCAGAGCCAACAAGATAGGTTCGAAATTCTTTCTGGCCACACATTCAGGGGAAGAGCAACAGACAGCTTGGCCGATTAGATGAGAAAAGTGATTTTTGAGCTTGGAGAAACCCACTCTGGCAATAAAATGTTACATTGATGTTGCAAATTTTCCTCTATAGTAAAAGCTATCATTTATTTTTATTTTTAATTTTAATTGATGTGATGGAACTGCCTATTATTCTCATTTTGTCATTACACATTATATATGTATGTCTCATCATAAGGTACCCCATAAAGATGTACAAATATTACACCTCAATAAAATACAAAGATTACTAAAAGTTTCTTAAAAGATAAAGTCGAACTTGGCACTTCATGTGGTATGTGTCACACAACCGTCATTCCAATAATAATGACCCCCGGAAGGGATATGACTTTTCTCATGTTCTTCTGTGCAGGTGTTCTTTTCCATCCTCATTGGAGCATTCAGCATTGGCCAGGCTGCTCCGTGTGTTGATGCTTTTGCCAACGCGAGAGGAGCAGCATACGTGATCTTTGGAATTATTGACAGTGTGAGTCATCTGTTAACTTAGTGCTGAAACTGGAATCACTCAATCTGGCTTTGGGTGACATATTTTTTAATCAATTATATTGACGAAGTTATGTTGATTACTGACTTAGTTATTTTTCTTGCTGCTGAGACAAAATACCCAACACCCAAAGTTAAAGGAGGAAAAGTTTCAGTCCACAGTTGGCAAGGCAGAGTGGCAAGGCAGACGGCACTGCAGAGGAGAAAGGGTGCGGAGCGCAGACAGCAGAGCGGTGAAGCACAGCGGCAGGCCTTGGCCTTCCCGCACCTGTATTGCCCAGAAGCTGCTCACACTTGGGCGGGTGGAACTTCTGGGTGGGGCAGCCGCAGTCCACCCAGAGCCATCCGATGGGTGGGCTAAGTTAGTGGCCACACACCCTGGATCCCAGCATTGTGTGCTAGACCCAACCTCCTCTGATGGTCTGGCGCTGTGGGGGACATCTCGGCACAAGCCCCAGAAACCGCAGGGGAATTTAGTGACATGGAATCAACAACCTCCTCACATCAATGAATGAAACAAAATGCCTCTTACTGTTTTTCTTTAGATAATACAATAACAATAATCTTGTGTTGGACAAAAACACCTGCTATAGTGCATTGTTATTATAGAGAACAAGGATGTTTCTCTTCCATTTCTTTTTCTCTTCACATTTTAGCCAGATTGAAAATATTACGATTTCTACGTAGGACTGGTGGTTGATAAGTTATTGGTAAGATCAGAATTGATGTTACGTTTTCCACTGGGTAATATTTTGCAGCCAAAACATTATCACCACATTTTATAATTTTGAGTCAGCTATATTAAATAAGTTGAGCTGACTACAATGAGAAAGAAAATATTTTACCATACTTAAGTCACTGCATTTACACAAACAAAATGTAAAATAGATAATGAAAATTTGATATTTCAATTTCAGGAGTGTCTCTTATTTCATTCCAAGTCATAAGAAAATCGCTCCAGGGTGGGGAGATAGCTTGGCAGCACCTGCTTGGCAAATGCAAGGTCCCCAGTCCAATCCCTGGTACCACATGCCATGCAGGCCCTGAAACAGAGAGAGAGAGACAGAGAGAGAGAGAGAGAGAGAGAGAGAGAGAGAGAGAGAGAGAGAGCGAAACTATTTTGTTTTTGAATATGTTGAAAGTCCTGGCTCCCAAATGATATAATCAGCAATTTTTTCAACTTAATCCATTGTATTTACTATTTAAGAATAAACTAGAGCCAGCCAAATAGCTCACTGGATTAAAGTGCCCCCGGGGCACGCTGAGACAGTGATCAAGACTGGGTGTGGTGGCGCACGCCTGTAATCCCAGCCTTTGGGAGGCTGTAAACAGGAGAATCACTACAAGTCCGATCTAGTAGTGAGACCCTGAATACCCTGTAGACCCTGTCCTAAAAAATACAGAAAAATAAATAAATAAATAAATAAATATAAACTAATGTTCACTAAATGTTGAAATACTAGCCTTATCAATTATAGTATGTTCTTGTTATTGCAGTTGTATAAATAGGCATATCTATTCAGAAGATTTAGGAAGATGTGCCAAACACTTAAAATGAAATATCGAACGTAGTAAAATGAACATTTTCTATATATTCTTCATGAAAAGCCTGCTTATTGAAAAGGAACATTTCCTTACACAGTACACACACCCACACACACACACACACACACACACGTGCAAGTGCACACACGCCTGTACAGTGCACAGACTGCACCGAGGTCTGTCTCAGGTGAGGGATGTTACACTGTTTTCTGAATCATATTTCTTCAAAATGTAATTATTTATCCTGTGGCAAAGAAGTCTTTATGTTCTGTTTTATTTAGGATCCTAAAATTGACAGTTTTTCAGAGAGAGGATATAAACCAGACAGCATCAAAGGGAATCTGGAGTTCAGTGATGTTCATTTTGCTTATCCATCTCGAGCCAATGTCAAGGTACTGTAAGAAATGTTCTTGAGAATTCCCTAACTCAGGTTGATTGCTTAATCCTCTTAAATAGTAGAGCCTGAGATGTGGAGGTGCATGTGCTCCCAGCACACTGTGAGGCCGCAGCAGGAACATAGCAAATTCAAGCCCAGCTCGGGTAATGTTTCAGCTTAGCAAGACTTTCAAAAGCATAATTTTAAAAGGTTCTGGCATGTAGCTCAGTGTGTAGACCCTGGGTTCAGTCCTTAGCACTGCAGTAAATAAATAGTCTCTTATTTATTTCATGTTTAAAGTGCTTTTCCCTTTGGGAGTTCAATGACCTTATTTGTATCATTTTATTTATTGAATCATTTGGGCTTTGTTGTAAGATGCGATCTTCATCCGTGCAGATCCTGAAGGGGCTCAGCCTGCAGGTGCAGAGTGGCCAGACGGTAGCGCTGGTGGGGCGCAGTGGCTGTGGGAAGAGCACTGCTGTGCAGCTGGTGCAGAGGCTCTACGACCCCACCCAGGGCACGGTGAGTGGCTCTGGAGCAACAAGCTCGGACAAAGAGCTGCCACATAGCAGCCCATCTTCTGAGTAGTGCCTGGAGCTGAGGTATCGGTGAGTGGCCAGAGACAAGCTCCAGGGCCCTGGGCTTGGCAAGATGCTCCATGCAGTGTGTGTGCACAGCTGCTCCCCTGAGCACCGGGCACCCCAGAGTGGCAATAAGTCCAGCACAAACACTGGGGTCTCTTAAGCTTCAGGCTAGATAAAGGAGAACGTAAGAAGGTCTCTTAAATGACAGGAATGTGGGACAGGCACAATGGGG